ATCATTAAGCAATAAAATCTCCGACACTGCAGGCGTGCAAGCCTATGACTTAAGACAGAGGAGTTGCCGCTAGTTTCCGCTACGCTATTGTACATCCCGGCAATATCGTTTACTATCCTCTGCAAGTTAAAAGTGGAGATCAAATAACCAAGGATTGTCGATAGTGGACAATTTAGAATTTACCATGAGCAACCTTAATAAGCAGTGGATTCTGAGGGAACTTTCAGTAGCTTAGAAACCCCCATTGAGTCATATTAGAAAAACAACACGTTCAGCGAAGAGACTCTTTTATGCGAATTCATTCACATAGCTGTACAATCGCATTTATATATAATTATATGTGTGTGTACATGAGGTACGTCAACTTTAGATAATTAGTCAGGTAATACAAGAATGATCTAATATACAAACAAGGTTAGTTAGACAGCAACTAAAATAAGATTGAGTTAGTAAGTTAGATGACGTAATATAGTTGACTAAAATGTTTCAACTTAGGTCAGGGTAGCAACAGGGTTAATAACAGGTAGAGACTAAGTAGAAGTGAGGTAGAGAATAATGCCATTTAAATTAGAATTGAAATCGGGCAAATTATTTGGATGACGTAACATAAATGACTAGAAATTGAGCGCTGGTCTAGTCAGTAACAGTGGTAATGAAGTGTAGAAATTAAATTGGGTGGAGGTGGAGAACAGGAAAGTTGAAAGTGTAAAATATTACAATCGTAAAGACAAAATAATACTAATGAAGAGACAGAAAGAAATAGAATTTACCTGCAGGGTATTAAGACAGATTACGTCCATTGCAAGTGTAGTGATTGAACGAACTTCTTCTGTATGCAGAGATCAGGGCTTAGCAAGTGAATTCCCATTGCTTCTGCAGTTTGAAGAAGTCTGACTCGTACACTTTTAGGAAGACTGCTTCGTATTCTGCGGACGACTTTGAAGTTTGTTTAGGGTGTAGCTTGGTATCCGGGATCTATCAGATGTCCTAACATAGAGCAGCGAGGGCATCGTTTTCCCCTTTGTAAAACCATGCTGGTAAGTGTCCGGTGATACGTTTAGAAAGTGAACGCTGAGTACAGCCAACATACATGACTCCACACGAGCAGGTGAATTGGTAGATACACATTGATGAGGCCAGCAGTGGTAGCTTATCCTTCACGTTCATACGAATCATAGGTTTCGTGGAGAAAGTTAATCGTAGTTTAGCTGTAAAGAAGGTTTTCCTAAGTAAACGCGCCAGTCAGTTTTTCAGTGTTTCCGCAAATGAAGGTTTTCTGGGAGCTAAACGTGGGCGGCTGTTTGCGGTCTGGGATTCGTGGATTTTGCAATAAATCGTTGTGGGTAACAATTCTACATAAGGATTCTCTTCAGATTGTCCAGTTCGTCTTCTATGGTATTCGGGATGCAGATTCTGTCAACTCTGTAGCTGAGTGAACGGATCAGGTTTCGCTTGGTGTATAGAAGTACCCAACTGTGAGAGTTAGTAAGCTGTCCGTTCCACGTCAACTTTCTGTAGGTAGACCTTTTCAGCGTTCCATCCTGTTCTCGTCTTGTCAGTTGAACGTCAAGAAAGGATATTTTGCAGTTAGACTCTTTCTCTAACGTGAACTGAATCACGGGGTGCCAGTTGTTAGGGGAATTTAAGAAGTCGTCTAGTTTTTCTTCATTGTTGACGATAACGAAAGTGTCGTCGTCGTATCTCCAGTAGAATTTGAAGGAGTCGATCATTTTCTTCAGGCATGTGTTTTCGGGTTTTACCATAAAGAAATCTGCAAGCAATGAACTTAGTGGTGAGCCCATAGCTATACCATCCTTTTGTCGATATATCTCGATGTTAAAAGAGAATTGAACATTCAGAGTACACCTAAGCAGGGGTTCTTTGAGACGCTCGGTGGGTATATCGATGTTTGTTCCCTTTGAGTAAATTTGTTTGCATATGAAGCATATTGTTTCAGTCAGTGGGACGTTTGTGAACAATGACGTGACATCGAATGAAATCATAGTCATGTTGGATAGGTTGGCGTTATCAATAAAGTCGAATGAATCTCGAAATGTGGCGGGGAACTTGTCTTCTGATTGGTTCTAGTAGGTCTGCTAACCTTTAGGGTGTATAGTGATAAGGTGATTCGGTCATGTCGAGGATCGATCGAAGAGGCTTACCCTTCTCTTGTGCTTTCGGGAGTCCGTAAAGTCGTGGTATATTTGAGCCAGATGGGATTCGAACGTTTCGTCACTGATGTAAGATTCAGTCTTTAGTTTATGGAGAGTGTCGGTTAGTTTTTGTTCGGTCTGTTCAGTCATATTTTTCTCGTTGACCGGTTTTAGGAATTTGAATTTTATCGGTTATTATAGTCAGCATTGTACTGATATAACCATTGCGATTCATGATTATGATTCCTCCGCCTTTATCAGGACGTAATAGCATAATCTCTTTGTTTTTCACGAGTCCTTTCAGCTCCTTATAATGCCTCTCAGTTAAAATGGACCTTCCGCTGCTCAATTTTAGTCCTAATTTAAATGTCACTATTCTCCACTCAGTCTCTACCTGTAATTACCTCTGTTGCTATCCTGACCTAAGTTGGAACATTTTAGTCAACTATATTACGTCATCTAACTTACTAACTCAATCTTACTTTAGTTGCTGTCTAACTAACCTTGTTTGTATATTAGATCATTCTTGTATTAGCTGACTAATTATCTAAAGTTGATGTACCTCATATACACACACATATAATTATATATAAATGCGATTGTACAGCTATGTGAAATTTTCTGGGTAACCGCGTTTTTTAGTTCGACATTTAGATTTGGAATGCTGTACAACATAGTCAGTCCTTCCCTTGGTTTACATTGAAAATCATCAAATCAACGCAGAACTCACCTAGTGACTGGAAGTCCTGGGTAAGAGCCCTGTCAGGTACATACCGCTTAGAAGCCCCAAACGAGGACGAGGTAGCTGTCCGGCACTCCTCTGTTTCCGGTGTCTTTTTAATTTATGTTAGCTCCTGGTCAAGCCCATTAAATAGGTACAGAATGTGTTTTGTGTCTCAAAGTAGTTTTTCTGCTTGTTTGCTTATAAGGTCACGTGTCATAACCTCATGACAACTTTAACTTGCCCCTGATGTGACATAAGTTGATCAGTTATCTACCTGCCTCCTGTCTAATTTAGTTTCAGCTTACTGCTTGCACTGCACAACATTCTCACTGAGTTTATTCATTTAGTGTAGTTGTAAGCTTTTATATTATGATATACATAATCAAAAATTCAGTTGAAAATTTGCTCTATCGTGTTATGTGACGAACGCGTTAGTCCTCATCTCAGTTGCTATGCGCGTGTAAAAGCTATATCATATCTAAAGTGTAAACCTTAACCCATTTGTCAGTAGTTTACGCACTGCATAATATTTTACAATGTATCCTAAGGTGAGCATAAAGAAGTACTCTACATACACAGACTGTTATTTGTCTCACAGCTTATTTACTCAATGTCATATTTTCAATCATTGCATATGTAAAACTTTCTTAATAGGAAAGGGATCTCGTTCGATAAGCTAATAGTGGTTGTAAATTGGTGATAAGAACGCCGCACTAGTGCCATTAATAGTAAGTCGATGCAACTTCAGAGGTAGATACACGGTTGACTTCACCACTGATTATTACTACCACTATATTTTTATGAAGCTTTATTTCATATATAAGTGCCATATTTCAAGCCACTCAAGTCACACACGCTAAAGATATTAGAATACCCATAACTGTATAACTCCAACAGAAGCTACTTCACAGCAGTTCTTAATTGGTCACTACTAGTTGCCTACACACAGGTTTCCTCAGTGATATTATTTATTGTTACTGTTCGATTGCATGGAGAATTTCATCATGAGCTGACATCAGTTAGAGAACCACTGGAAAAGCTGGGAGTACTGTACAGTTGTCTCGGTTGCCGTAGTTCGGGAGTTTTCAGCAGTACGCTCACATGGCATTCGAACCCAGAACCTTCTGGTTACAAGGCGAGCTCGTAGACCATTGAACCGCTGGGACCTGATCCAATGGCCCTTGGATTCTAACTTCTGCCAATTCACGACCATTTCGCAATGTCTTCTTCGTTGAGTTACTGCCTTATCTTCAACTAGCTGTACTCTACTGGTTACGGCTTCTGTATTACTCTTGATTGCTGAAGTGGTGCTTTAGGTTGTTAGACTTGAGTTATGGTTTGAGTGAAGTTTCATTTCACTAGATAGTGGTACGAACCTTTCGACCTACAGTCCAGCAGGTTGCACCTACATTTCCTTCAGATAGTGATTATTATTATTATGAATTTCACCTCCAATATTGATGTATGTCATCTTTTAAGCAATGTTGCCAGCCAGCAGCTTCTGCATAATAATCGTTAACTTATGATTGTTTGAGATGTACAAAATTAGAACTAAGTTTATTTGCGCCTGTGTAGGTCATATTACCCTTTAGCCCATTTGGTGCATACCGATCACAAACACTTTCAACCTTACCTAACTGCTTAGTAGTATAGAAACATTGTGGCGATAACAACTCATCCGTCTTATTTCATCATGTGTGGAGGCATACAAATCCTGGTTTATAGCAACACATGTACTATTATCAGTGCCCGCTTATGTCCGGCATTGCACTCTACCATCATCCTTACATCTACGGTAGGGAATTTTAAAACAACTCTAATATATCCAATAACCTATATTTCGAAAGCATTGGGAAGTTAAGTGAATGCAGAAACACTTAAATTTTAATAGTAAAAAATTCAAGATGAAGATCTTCGCACACACATGTAAAAGGCTTGCACAAAATTTGCATTTGTCCTAGATTAACATGGTTACTAACGGCCAATGAAAACAAATCTGATCCGATTTCCGGCCTCCACACTTTGCACTAAAATTACGCGAAATTCCAGTGATTAAATTTCAGAATGCAAAGTATTAAAAAGTTAACTTCTTATTGAGTAGAAATATCAATAACACGAAGGGTTCATCGGAAGGATATAAGGCCAGCATCGATCAATTTCATTAACTTGGATGCTATTTCGGGATTATTCAGGTGTTCGCGAAGAGCAGTAGGATCTGACATTTGGTCTAAAATAACGCGCATGGCTGGATCAGATAGGATTGAAGCTATTTCGGGATCGTTTACGGCACGTTTGCGGGCTGCTTCTGGATCATCATCGTTGGTATATGATTGCATAAGACCCTCCCTGGCCTCTGTACAGTCAGAATCCAGTTCTAGAGCCTTCCTACAAAAATGAACATCGAGACAGTTAAGTTACTATTATGTTAGTAATAATGTTAATAAGAATTACGTTTAGTTCAAGCAGCCGTCTATAGCCAGATGATAACTGACTGCACACTAGATGGAATTTTCTTTTGCTTACTTAGTGATCTGTATGATTTCATTTAGCGTCAGTCATTTGTAGCCTTAACTCAACAAGGTTTCAGCAACCAAGACATGATTGGCATTCGCATAAGATGTGATCTAATTAAGCTTACAAATCCTCCTGTGCACTTACTAAATTGAAATGAGTATCTGAAGGACCAAATTAAAAATTAGTGTTCTTCAAAGTATCCATGCAGGGACGTCTCACAAGTGAACAAGGTTTAAGAAACTGATCTGCTTACAAACGTGAATGGCATATTATTCAGAAGCGACTAGTCAACCAGATGTAGAGAGTTCCCGCGATATATCTAAAAGCCTGATCACACATTTGTGAGACTGTCCGTTTTGTGTAAAAATAAAGACAGGAAGTAATAGATCAAGAATAATGATAATGAATTAGGTGAGAAATAGATTCGGAATGCAATGTGAGGAAGTAAAGCCTACTAATATAGTGGATAACATAAAACATTCCAGGTGAAGCCTTATTTCGAACATTCTCGCAAGTGTCTTGTGCCTTTTTACTATCGTTTACTTTATACCAACCCAAGGCTGCGTGTTATCTGGATGGTAGTAAGCCAGCTCGCATAGATAGAAAAAAGGAAATGAACGCTCTAGAGTTGAGAAAAGAAATTGGGTAATAAACAGGTGTATGGAGAAATAAGTGTTTCACATGAAGGAAGTAATCTACGCATTGTAGACTTTGTTGCTCTTCTAAATGCTCCATAATTAAATTAGTCCTAAAGTGGAATTGTGGTTTATCAGTTTGTGCACTCGAGTTTAAACTGATGGACCGTGAATTCGAACCTTGCTTCACCTACTGCGATTCAAAGAGTGTAAAACGACGAAGGTGGTAGGTGAGCTGTATATCAGAAACTCACTTGAGAATGAAGATAAAGCTACTGGGCTTCTAGATGAACGCGCGTTGTTGGTTGGTATTACTGGGAGAGAAGGATAGACCGCGTGACAGACAGTGGGATCAATTTAGAATCTCGTAGCGAAGTTCAACGCCTTTAGTTGGTAAACCACAAATTAGCAGTTATGAAAGTTAACAAATGAACAAAGGATACAACAATGGACACAAACGGTTAGATTAAGAAAGACTATAATTCAGTAAGGACCAACGTTCGGAACTTCAAAATTATAGAGGGGAAATATGTTAATGCTACAACAGTAGAAATTTCTCTAATTATTGATCCTGAGGACACCAGGAAAGAGACTTTACGAAAAAGTGCAATGTTCTGTCTTCAAAATTTGTCAATTTCAGCTAGTTAAGGGAAATGACCCCATAAAGTCGATGGTTATATAAGCTGGAACAGGAGGGGATGAGACCCCTTGCTCTAACCAAATTACACAAATAGTACGTAGTTTTTGATTACTTTACAGCCCTCAGGCAAAGTAGTGAACAGGTTTCCCTCATTTCGTTAGGCAAGGTAATGTGTTTTCTGTTACTTTTTGTGTTTTCAACAATAATTGGAAATCAGATGTCTTAAGTATAGTTCGAAACCGCAGTACTGCACAAATATCACTGACAATTACTTATTAGTAATAGCGCGGAATAGAAATATAAAGCCTGCTTGACTTGGGTTTACTGAGGGTGGAATTATCACTGATTTTCATCTGTGTTTAGTGCGGATTTAAAAGACGACTTCACAGTTGGAATATGAGGAATGAAAGAAATCAGTCACCCTATGCCCATGGATTTAGAGATGAGTTTATCAACTAAATGGGGTATGAACGCCAGTTCTCTCTGTCCTGTTAGATATGGCACTGTAGGTTAACAGCACGAAAAGACTGGTTTTTTCATCTAACTTTTTTCCGCTCAATTTCTCAGAGTTGACCATGAATATATACGCCTCCAAAAATACCAGGTGTTGGGGTTGCGGGTCAGTCGTGGGGGTTGTACAGCCCCATTGACTTAAGGGGGTAGGATATATCATGTCTAGACACCGCCTGTCTAGACAGGCAATACTGTTTGAAATGGGATCAGGTAACGCAATATCAAGTTGTGGTTAAATGAAAATAATGCACCAACCCATCAAGTGTACGGCTGTCGATTTGGACTACATTGTGATATACTCACAATGTGCTGGCATCAAGATTCCGGGAATCTCTGCTTAATTATTCTCTCTCCCACACTACTGCGCTAGTAGTGGTTCCACTAGAATTCTTTTCTCTACTTTTTAGTGTGTGGCAGTATGAATTGGTAAACAGTTCTGAAAAGTTCTAGGTTGAAAACTGATTCCATATATGATCGTCCGTTGCATCAATGCTTATAAAGGTGAAGTTTGGAGCATTGAGATCTAGTCTTACACATTCAGACTTAGAGGTCTAGTGGTAGGAATTCTGTTACATTGTTAACGAACTCAACCGATAAGTGGTCAGAGGGATGCTTGTTTAAAAAGTCTTCAGAGCACCTAAATCCTAAGGATGTTGCTGCTTAATGTACCTAACAACGTTAAGCAATAATTGTGAGTGCAGTATGTCGGTTAGTCGCAAGATGGTAACCATCTGACAATGCCACACACGTGCCGTACCTCATCCCTATTAGAATCTACGAGATTTTCTGTGGCGCATTTCTGCGTGGCCATAATGTACGAAGTCCGTGTTCTAGTATGAGAAGTGATAGTGAACTTTCGTACTGTCTTGATTTGTCCCATGTATACATGCGGAGGCTATTTGGTTTGCATGTTGCTTATTAGAAAACTACTGTCAAGGAAAATACTGCGACTTCTTTCAAATCACTTTTAAGCAGCTAAAGAACCTGTAAAAGTTACACTTACCGGAAAGCTTTTCTTGCTTGAGTGAAGTCTTTCATTGCATTACATGCAGCTCCTTTTCTAAGATATCCTTTGATAAACTTCGGGTCCAGCTCGATGCAAGCGTTACAGTCACTGACAGCAAGTGGGAATTCCATCAGTTTGGTATAACAGGCTGCGCGATTACTGTATAATTTGGCATCAGTGGGGTTTCTTCTGATTGCCTCGGTGTAGTGTTTAATTGCCCCCGGATAATCACCCTTCGAAAATAGTTCATTACCCTTGGCTTTTTCTATCTCCGCCTGCTCGGGGTTAATGTACGCCAACTTTTCTTTCTCTTTGATGAGTTTGTCTAGAGCCTTAGCGGCCTTCTCAACATCTGGTTGTCGCGATTCTGACAATGACTTGTCATAATACTTTTTCGCATTTGCATAGTCTTCTTTCTTTTCACAAGCATGAGCGGCACGAGCGTAAGCCTTAGCCACCAGCTTGTAATCTGCTCGGTTTTCCCGTCCCACTTCAACGGCCTTTTCGCACACCTCTATACACATGTCATATTCATGTTTCTCAAAGAACACCGCTGCTTTGTTTGTATAGTAGGTTATACATGTTGGATCAAGCTCAATCGCCTTGTCATAACAAGCTATAGCAGTCTCAAAATCCTTCTTTTTATACGCAGCGTTCCCTTTTTCCTTCTCTGCATCTGCTTCTGGCCGTCCCATGGTAACAATTAAAATCACGCCAAGAGGTTCGAGAAAACTGAACGAAGAGGTCTGATTGCCAACTAGTTCAACTTAACAACCAAGGCAATTGAACATTGAACAAGGAGTGTGTACAGGAAACCTACTACAACAGGACAGTACACTCATTTTTTGAGTTTTGTACCTTTGAAATATAAACGCAACCTGGTAAAGTGTCTGGTTCATAGAGCGAAGTTAATCTGTTCAGACGACTGCTTCAATGAGGAGCTTAAGATTATTAGAGAATTACTTAGAAAAAATGGTTATCCAGATAAGTTTATTGAGAAAAATATGAATTCATCACCTAGGACAGTGACTATGGCAACAGTTCCGAAAAAACCGCTGTTCATAAAACTTCAGTTCCTCGGCGACAACATCAGCGAAATAATAACACAACGACTGAAGAAAGAAGTTAAAAGAGCTTATTATGCAGCAGAGGTACGCTGTCTCTTCACAACCACACCTATCCTGCGTTTGAGTAATAAGGATAAACTACCTAAATTCGCCTCTTCTATGTGTCTCTACCAGTTTGACTGCAGCTGCGGAGCCAGCTACATCGGGCGAACAATTAGGCAGGTTCATCATCGTATTTCCGAACATCACCCGGCATGGTTAAGCAAGGGACAAACAAAATCTATTCGTAGCTCTATTTTAGCCCACCTTGTAGATAGTGAGCATAAGGTTGATGTTAATACTGCATTTAAAATTATTTATCGCATTCCTACTAATCTTAATTTTGCTTTACGAGTTCGTCTTCTACATACAGCTGAAGCAATAGGAATCCACCTGAAGAAGCCAAACTTGTGTGTTCAGAAGAAATTTGTACAGCCACTTTCCTTACCTTGGCCATCGTTACATGACTGTATAAACCGGACTACTCCATCACCCTCCACCTAGAATAATTTTTCTTTTTAAAAACTATAATTGTCCAAATTATTTTATTTTTCTGACTACTTCATCTTTAATTACGTGTTATCCTTGTAAAAATTATTTTATTCTTATGACCACTTAAACTTTAGTTACAAATTATCATTGTCCAAATTGTTTTATTTTCTTTAACAATCTGTTACGTAATCAACCTGTGCACACGCTTATTCCTTAATTGCTCTTCATTTTTCCAAAATTATGCATTATGCAATCCACATGTTGTAACCATCTCCACCTTTTAATTATACATATTATTTTTCTTCGTTAATTATCACCCCATTGACATTTTGACACCGACTAATTATTGTTAACAAACATATCGCCACTTGACTGGTAAATTGTTGTGTATTGTAATTAAAATGCTATATACATTAGAGTAGAGCCAGAGATGAGGATCTAATTGAAAAGTAAATATTTCTTCGCTCAATCTTTCTCTTTTCTAAATGTCTAAATGGGGATATTTTCTAAATTGAACATTTGTTCATTCAATAGTGTATACCTAGTAAAAAGATACTACTGCAGCATACATTATTATTAGAAAAATTTAAGCTATTTCCAAAAATATTGTTTTCGAACAGTTGGTCGTGAAAACCTTCTACAATCTTTCGTGTACTATGAAAATGGGAACGGTTCGATAGATGATTGTATTTTTATTATATTCTATTTACTGAAAATTTGTCAAACGTTCTTGGTTTTCGTGCATCATAGAGGCTCTTCGCCTTGAATTTTTGTTTTCTCCTGAGTTTGCACTGTCAGACAAAGGTTTTTAGTCAGTACGTAAGTCGTTAAATTTTAGATGGTCCGTATGAGAACTACGCCAGCTGAAGCGATCTTTCGCATATACTTTGTGGATTATATTATTTCATGTCATATGCCCTAGGTTAATGACCTGTTATTATACTTGCAGAAGTAAATAAATCCCCAAAACTATTAATCTACAGCATTCGTCACTCAACTTTGGATGCTGACATTCATTATCCTGGTTGATTCGTTTCGCTGAAACGTCTAAGTCAAGTACCCACGTTTTCGGCAAACGGTCGATTTGTACCTCCACAATATTGAGATTAGCTGTACGCTTGTAAAATTAGTTCGTGTGCGCATGTCACAATCTTACAGAAACCAATTTCACATGCGCTTTTGCAATATCTGTAACTGTATTATTGAAAATTCTGGTTTGTTACATATGTATTTCAAACGGTTATGCACTTTTCGCGACCTCCTTGTGCTTTTTGAAATGGATTTCGTTAACAATACATCCTTTCAAGTCTTTGCCTATGGTTCTTACTACAACGGCGTTGGTTTTTGACCACATATAGAGTCAGCACATAGTAGGACGTGAAAAAGTGGATGTACTGTATTTTCATGATCGGAATCAGAATAAGTACGCCTTAAATTTGCTAACCCAACGTATCAAAAGTTTTGGCAGATAACCGTCATCCCACTTTTCATGGATCTATACACATTACTTTAAACCCATTTGAATTTGCCTTCTCAACTGTTAAACTGCATTTTTCGCGGTAGGTACTATCATTCTTGATTTGTCGTTCACTTTATCCATTTTGTGTGAATTCTGCTTACACTAACTGTGATTGTTCTGATTCGGGATCTGTTAGTACTATTACGCTTACTGCACCAATTTTTAGACCCTGAGGCCACCATCTTTGATATGCTGGTTTGGAAGATTATTTTACTGGCTATTTGCCCACTTCGCAGAACTCTAAATTTGGCGGTTTTATTTATATACTGCAAACGAAATCACGGAACAAGTACACAGACATATTTTATCCAAGCACAGTCTCGATGAAATAAATTAAAAGAAGAGGCAGAACTATGCAGTGTGCTCTGTGATGAGCGAGCACTAGACCGCTCACTAAATGATGTAAATTTGGGAGTTATAACACCGTCCCAAAGCAAAAGATACATGCAAAGCCTCGTGGCATACAAGGAAGTTGATAAACGACTTTTCTGTGAAATCTAGGTATGACAACTACCTGCCGACATTCAACAAGTCCTCGCCTTTGGAAATAGCGACATCAGTACGGATAAACTCGCTGAAATCGCTGGTCACATGTTTGAGAGGTCAACACCTCAAATCATCGTCTTTACATTCATGTACGTATACAGACCCAAGAACATAAAGTTGATTCCTTGCTGGGCCAGTTCGCAAGGCTAACTGCACACACAGGATGCTGCAGTTCTAGGACCTCATCTCATCAACGTCTTTCCAGATCACCAAACACATTTAGATATGGTGTTAAAATTATTTTGTTCCTCATTAATTGTGAAAAAATGCGCCGCATTGCCATCCTCTTTGTCATTTTCAGACAAGAGTATCGGATGTTCCGGGATTTCTGACGAATTCCGCCACCGGCGATCTAATGTCCAACAGTCGTGTCAACGTAGTTGGAGATCGAACGATAAATTCACGGTTGTTAGCTCAAACCCAACTCTATATTTTTTGCGGGAGTCATCGATACTGCGGTCATCGTTTCATCGTTCGCTGTTCGTTGGAAGACAAAGAAAAACTATCATAATTATTATTGTAATTTATTGTTATGACATTTATTCTTGGACTTTGTGTACAGTAACCTAATGTTTGGCTCAGTATCGGTGCAAGAATAAACGGTTCTTGAGTCACCAATTTGTGTTCTGGTTTTTCTCGTGTTGGTTATTACGCATAGTTCCTGAAAGCCTTCCAAGGACAGTGTGAAGTTCAGTGTAGTTAGACCTGGGCATTGACAATTAGTTTGTTTTATGAAGTGAATGGTAATGCTGGCACAAGCCTTCGATAGAGTCCCCCATAATCTGCTAGTCAGCAGGTTATGCTCACTAGGGATATGTGACCCTCTCCTGAGCTGGATAAAATCATTTCTCCGTGACAGGAATCAGATAACAAAAGTTGGCTCGATAATCTCAAGGCCAAAACCTGTAAGTAGTGGTGTAATCCAGGGAAGTGTATTAGGCCCACTCCTATTCATAATATATATAAACAGTATCTGTGAATGCTTTAGTGTTGGTAAACCAATACTATATGCAGATGACTTAAAAGTGACCTATAAATGCAAGAACACAGATCTCGGAATAACATTAAACGCCATACAGCAAGAATTAGAAAAAATGGACAGATGGTGTGACACCTGGCAACTCCAGTTTAATGTCGACAAATGTGGCTGGCTCTGCATAGGTTGCAACAATTTAGAACTTGACCTGACAATTCAAGGCCATGCACTTTTACGACTGGAATCTGTATTGGACCTAGGACTGAAATACTCACATGACTTATCATTTTCTGAACATATCTCCAAACAAGTGTCAAAGTCACGCAGACTTATCGGCTTTCTACTCAGGAACTTTTACAGAAATGAGTCCAGAATTCTGTTGTACAAGGTTTGTGTGCGTCCTTTATTTGATTACTGTTCATTCATGTATAGTAGTATACGCATAGAGGACAAATTGAAAGTCGAGGGAGTGCAGAGGTACTTCACGTCAAAATTACTCGGAACCGAAAATGGTGCGAACTACTCCACTAGATGTGACATCCTAGGATTAGAAACACTATGGCTAAGACGCCTGAGACTAAACTTAACACTTTACTATAAGCTTCTAAACCACTTAGTTTTTACCTCTACTAATGGCATTCGACTTTCAGATGACAGTGTCTACAAACTAAGACACACTAAGGGTACAGTAGCTATTGAACAATGTAAAACAGCTACCAGGCAAAAGTTTTATTTGATTAGGTATGCACAGATATGGAATAAACTACCAATGGAAATGCGTCAAGCAGGTACATTGGCTTCCTTCAAAAAAGTGCTTAACGACAAACTACACGAGTTTGCAAACGACAGTAGTTCTAGTTCCTATCTGAGAGCCTCCGAAATTATAGGTCCATTTAATGTATAAGTTCAAATACTACACCTGCTGTTTTTGCCTATATTTATAATTTTAGATAAAACATTAACGATTAAGATACTTACCCTCAAACAGACAAGAAGTTTCGTTTGTAAAACTTCTACCCAACACAATAAGTGGAATAAAATGGACATAAACTGACA